AGTCTATTCTACTATGTTCAATCTCTTGTAGGAGCTATTGATTGGGGAACGGTAGGTTATGGTCCCATCCTTTAACCAGTTCAATTTGCTGCTTTTAGAAATGCGAACGCAGCCGTCGCGTGTGGGAGCCCACTTATACTCTGATTTACGAGGATGCATCCCTTCCTTATGTGACGAAGTTTAGCCAGATCAGCTCAGATTACAGCAAAGTGCCACCTGCTGTTAATGAGTGTTTGGAAGTTATCGGATTGCTTTCACGTATCGGAGAAAGATTCCCTGATGCGCAGCTCTCTCCTTCAGTCTTTATCAGCGATAAGCTTACCCAGAAACTTACGCAGGTACTACATTTGGTTGATTTTCACAAAAGTCTGCACGACATGCTTTCAGGAGCTTTCTGATGCCTTGGTGGTCGCAGCCAGAGCAATGCCAGATTGGTGCGAACGCCTCATTTATACATATCCATGTCTCTTTTCGGCTGAGACAAAGTGAGTTTAATTTTTTGAAGTTTATTAGTGAAAAGTTAAATCAAATACTTAAGGAACATGTACATGCAAGCTACTGCCTTTGGAGTGTCCCGCACAATCGTTTGGCTGCAATCTCGTCGTGACGCAGCTCTTGACCGAGCCCGTGGTGCAGCTCAGAGCGCTACAAGCAGCGCCAGCAGACCACATGACCGCTACCAAGAATATCGCGTTGGTCGCTTGAAGCATGAACGGATCAAGGTGAATCAATAGAGCAGAATTTGGTTTGAACCGGTCAGTCTATTCTTTTTTCCAGGTGACTCGTTCGGAAGAACATCTTCTTGAGCAAGCTATTCGTGTTATGAAGTTCCACGCTGATCGCAAAGCAGTTCTCGAGATTGAGTACGTTGGTGAAGAGGGAACTGGTCTTGGTCCTACATTGGAGTTTTATGCTTTGGTAAGGATTGAGTTTAGAAAAACTAGAAAGTGCAGCTTTTGTACCTCCCTTCCATGCTTTCTTTTTCTCAGAAGTCATAAAACACTTGTTCTTTGATTTGACTTACAGGGTATGATTTGCTAATAATTTTTTTCCAACTAGATGC